GTAGTCCACGAAAGCTTATGCTCTAATAAATTTGTTAGTCTCTAAGGTGCCACAAGTCCTCCTGTTCTTCTTTTTGCGTTATATTATTGCTGATCAGTTCCCTGACAAGGGAAAGACGGGCCAGGCTCTAGAGAAGGACCCTGGAGGTCTCTGCCGGATGAGCCCGAGGGGAACCCTGATGGTTAAGAGCAAGGGCGGGGGGGAAAGGGGAGTGGCACGGTATCCCGATCTCTCAAATTAGGAGGGCTCACTCTGTGGCTACCTGGCCTCTTTTCCTGCGTGCATTGCCCCCCATTGTGAGGTGGCTGAGGATAGCTACAGCAGGCTCCTCACCATTCATTGCCACCGCAGAGCCCGCCATGCACAACGCCGGCTGGGGTATGGCATGCACCTGACCCAGGAAATGCTCGGTGGCTTCACACAGCAGTGAGGTCAGTGGTTATGTTCCTGTGTGACAGCACAAAACCATCTCTGAGCTGCTCTGTCCTTCACAGGCGTGTAACGAATTCACCACACACGTGATGAACCTTCTCCGAGAACAGAGTCGGACACGTCCCATTTCTCCCAAGGAGATCGAAAGGATGGTGGGCATCATCCATCGAAAATTCAGCTCCATCCAGATGCAGCTCAAACAAAGCACTTGTGAAGCAGTAATGATTCTGAGATCAAGGTTCCTTGACGCCAGGTACGTGAGAGGACAGTTTTGCTGCTGCTTTCATTCAGGCAGTGTTTACTGACATGCTCCAGGGTGTGTGCTGATTCACCCCAGGCCATGCCTCTGCCCTTGGGAGGCAGTTCACAGTGCTGTTCATCCACTCAATGGCTGCTTCGGGAAGGGGAGGTTCCCTGCAGAAAGCTTGCATGGAAATGCTGTGTCTTTTTAACATGTTTAGTATAAGGGTTAAATACTTCACTTCAATTCATCTGCCAGAACACATCTCAAAGCTGTACAGGACCCAGGTAAGGGCTGTGATGGGCACCCTGGCAGATATTTGAACAGTTCCAGGGTAAGGTAGCCATGGCGCAGGGAGGGTGTTTTAGAAACGTGGCTTGCAAAATATTGAAATCTGGTAACTGAGGAGTTAATTATCTCACAACCTCTGCACACCGCCTAAGGCTGAGCTGAGGTTAGGATCTGTGTCCTTGTTGACTAGATGTGCCTGGTTGATGTTGTTTACAAAGGGCCAGATTCTGCTGGCCTTGCTCCCACTGGGGTGTCCTTTGGACTTTACCACGCAAAAGGATGACAGACTCGGGCTCTGAACTTGCACCAGCGAAGCTAGTCAGAACCAGCGTGTAGCAGTCTGGTGGGGTCTCCGGAGTACAGTGCTGCTCCCAGCAGACAGGGCGCTTCTAAAGCTCTCTGGGTCTTTCCCAGGCCTGGGGAACTCTTTCTTTGCTCAGGTTTCAGAGTGGTAGCCATGCTAGTCTGTATCAGGAAAAACAACGAGGAGTCCTTGTGGCACCTGAGAGACTAACCAATTTATTTGGGCATAAGCTTTCGTGGGCTAGAATCCACTTCATCAGATGCATGCAGTGAAAAATACAGGAGCAGGTATAAATACATGAAAGTATGGGGGTTGCTTTACCAAGTGTGAGGTCAGTCTAACTAGACATTTCAATTGATAGCAGTAATGGTGAGGAAATCCAGGGAGTGCTTGATGGCTGCCCAGCATATGCAAGGGGTAGGACAGTGCATCTGCCTGTCTCTCCATGGAGACATCACCAAGTACTTCAGGGAACAACATCCAGGCGCAGGACGACAGTGGGTACTTGAGAGAGGGTGAGGCTGGACAGAGGAGCTGAGCAATGCAATGCCTGCTGATCTCGAGTGCCAGCTTTCTCCACACGATGGTGCAACAACAGAAACAGACAGACTGAAATTACAAGCGGTTTATGGAAACAATTAGGTTTCTTTTGAACCACAGAGCAGGCTGCATTAGTGACCACAGGTGTCATTCCTTCCTGGAGAGCTGCACTAATGCAGATTACAGGAACCTATAGCAATTAGGTTCCCTGAGATGTATGGTATAGGAGAGGAAACTGAGCAAAACCCTCGGAGCCCAAAGTACTGAGCAGAATCCTAGCAATGCCTCCCTGTAGCTAGTACTGTGCACCTTACACCTGAAAGCTGTTAGGAGCTAAACAAGAATGAAATAATTTCACTAATGAGAAGGTCACTGGCAGGTGTGGCAAATTAGGGTAATTACAAACAGTTGGGGAAATGTCTGCAGCCAGGTAAAGCTTGGAGATGCACATTTGAAAGTGATTTCTTTACAAGGAAGGAAGGTAAACAAGGCCAAATGAGCGGAAGCCCAGTAATGAGATAAAGACAGCTCTGGGGAGAGTCTGCCTGCGCCGGGGCCTGCGGGAGGGAGTAACAGAGCCGTGCAGATGGGACTGAGAGCGGGGGCGTTGACGCTCTGCTGCACGCTGGCCTGAGGCACCGGCATTCAGATTGCAAGCAGCCCTGAGGGGAAGAGAACTTTGAAGAAAATGTTCAATGGGTCCTTTCCAAAGAGTGTGCTGAGAAAAACCACTACGCTGGGTGGAAGGGGAAGACTGGAGCCATGTAAATGGTGGGGTTTGGATTCCTCTGTTCCACAGCCCCTCCCCGCACACTGGGAAGGGAGCACAGGGCCTTCTAATCGAGGGGGAAAAGGCCAGTCCAATGTCCTGCTCCCCTGCCTAGTCCTGCTCTCAGCTCACCTCGCTCACATTTCCTGGGTAATTGGACAGGCTGGCGCATGTGCCAGGGCAGCACACTTCAGGACAAATCTCTGTCTTTCAAGCCTAGGCACTGGAGGAAGGAGATGAGAGCTCTGCTTGAGTATCGCGCCCTGTGCTGCACACTAGGACTCACTGATGCCATTCAGACATATCCCATTGTAAGATAACGTGGAGTCAGACCACCCCAGGGACCACCGGAGAGCAACGTTCTCTTAGTCCCTTTGCACGGCCAGGGAGCACCAGAGAGCACCGTTCTCTTAGTCCCTTTGCACGGCCAGGGAGCACTGGAGAGCACCGTTCTCTTAGTCCCTTTGCACGGCTGGAGAGCACCGTTCTCTTAGTTCCTTCGCACGGCCAGGGAGCACCGGAGAGCACCGTTCTCTTAGTCCCTTCGCACGGCCAGGGGCCACCAGAGAGCACCGTTCTCTTAGTCCCTTTGCATGGCCAGGGACCACCGGAGAGCACCATTCTCTTAGTCCCTTTGCACGGCCAGCGAGCACCGGAGAGCACTGTTCTCTTAGTCCCTTCGCACGGCCGGAGAGCACCGTTCTCTTAGTCCCTTTGCACGGCCAGGGAGCACCGGAGAGCACCGTTCTCTTAGTCCCTTCGCACGGCCGGAGAGCACTGTTCTCTTAGTCCCTTTGCACGGCCAGGGACCACCGGAGAGCACCGTTCTCTTAGTCCCTTCGCACGGCCAGTGAGCACCGGAGAGCACCATTCTCTTAGTCCCTTCGCACCGCCAGGGAGCTCTGCTGGATGGTGCACAGCGGGGTAGAAGCACCAGCCAGGCACTTCCTGGCCCCCTTTGAACCTTTCTCCTCACCGCGTGCCCATGGAGGGGCCCTAATGTTCTTGTGGTTAAATGGTGAGAGATTCATGCTCCTGTTTCCAGCAAAGAGCTGGTAATTACAGGCCAATAGCATCCAGTTCCAGATCTGTAACTTCCTGGAGAATAGGTTGGTTCCTGCATGCGAGACTGGTGCTGCCCCGCAGGCTCTGCACTGCCCACCTGCCCGCCTCGAGCCATGATTTGCTTTTCGTTGTATGATTTTTTTCCCCCCACTGCACCCATTGCCATGGTTCTTGGGGTGCCCCGAACGAGGTGGTCAAGGAAGGCAATGTCTGAGAATCGACATGTCATGGCAGTGACTGTAAACTCTTCGTCATGGTGCCGAGAAGAACTTGGGGTGGGTCAGATCATGATGTCATGGAAGTCAATGGCAAAACTCCCCTTGATGTGACTGGGGAAAGGGGCAGGGCCCGTGTGTGTATTGTAACATGCCAGTGAGATACAGTTCTCAGCTGAGTGATAAGTGTGTTGCATACAGACTGGTATGTATTTAGGAAGTAAAGGAGGTTTTATCCTGAACAGAGCCTCCTGTAGACTTCTGTTAACATCTGTACCAGCAATGGATTTCTTTCCTCATTTCAGACGGAAAAGGCGTAACTTCAGTAAACAAGCCACAGAAATCTTGAACGAGTATTTTTACTCCCACCTCAGTAATCCCTACCCCAGTGAAGAAGCCAAAGAGGAGCTGGCAAAGAAATGCAGCATCACAGTATCACAGGTAAGACGAGGCTCATGTCGTCAGCATTGCCATCACCTGCCAGTGCCATCCCTTGCCTGGCAGGGCTGAGCCCTCTTAAGATTTGAGAATACGACACGAAGTAGACATGTCTACCCCAGTGATCACTCATGGTTTTGACCAGACACACCTTCCGTAGAGTGCGGCTCCTTTCCTTTGAAAGCAAACATGTTTCACAGACCTGTGGAGGGTAAGGGGTAACATTTGCATAGGTGCAGGAAGTAGCGAGTGCAGAGCATGCCTGGCTCTGATCAGTGTCTGCTGGCTCTAATGTATAGGTCTATCCAGATGGATACTGTTGCTTTGCTGAGTCCCGGCTATGGAAATGAGGGAATTCAGTGGGAAAAGGCTCTCTATCCATGCAGTGCCTGGCTCCTCTGCGTATCTGCCCACCCACACGCCAGTCTGTGCCTTTTCTCTCTTGTCTCAGCTACAGTGGAAGATGCATTCCAATGTCCTTTGAAAGCTCTCCAGGCAATCCAGTAGCCCTTGCCCAATACCCTCTTTTGTGAACATAAAAGTTAATGTCCCTGAAACATACATGTAAAAAGGTGGCAGATAGATGGGAAATGTGATTGTAAGCTCTTTGGGGCAGGGGTCATGACTTTCTTTTGGGCCTATGAAGAGCCTGGCTTACTTTAGGGTGCAATAAAATGAATAAATACAATTAATACATGTAACCAGCTATTCAGCAGTACATCCTATACAATCTGTGCATGCCGATCAGATCCTTAGATAGTTCATCTCTCATTGTCAGCTATCCATTCCTTAAAACTTAATGTTAATTCAGTGAAAGGCCAGTTTATTGACAAATATATAATTATCTTTATGGATCAGCTTTTCTCTGATTTGTTGAAGCCTTTTAAGAAGGCTCTTCTCTAGCCCAATCAGAATCCAACTTTTCAATCACAGTACAGTGACAATTATTGCTGCATTGCAGCAAAGTGTATTAGGCAAAGTGATTCCCTCCGTTCAGTCAGTTGGTCTGTCAGCAACGTCATGCAATAAAATAGGGGACCAGAAACAGTGTCTCCTGCCCCAGAAACAAATACCTCTGCTGTGCCAGGATTCTGCTTCCTAGACAAGCCAGACTGTATCTAACCGCTCGAGACTGTTCTCCTGCAATGACTTTCCAGTCATGGACACACTTACACAGAGCTTTCATTTACTCTTTACTGCACCAGCCATTTTAAAAAGAAAAGTAATACTTTGTTTTTATGGCATGTACATTTGGTAGAGCGCCAGAATCCTCTCAGCAAGGCTGGCCCCTGTATTTTGGGAAAAGTTGGGACTTGGTTCTCAGGAAAGTAAGTGGAAACAATAGTTTCTAAATTTTACAGCAAGTCTGTCTCTTACTACTGAAGGCTGAGATGCCAACTCCCTCTAGTTCCAATCAGCTTTGCTTATCAATATTTCAAGTCATTATAAATTTAAAGGAGCAATGCCTGAGGTTAATGTGTTAAGTATTAATGATTGCAGGCTCCGGAATTGGCATTATTAGCGACATAACCTCTGGATCAACCTTTAGCTTTATAATTAAGACACGATTTGAGATTTAGTTTACAGGTCTCCAGTGAAACTGTGGCATTTTCAGATGCTTTATGGTAGATTTAAGTAGGAACCTAGTCTAAAAAAACCACCCAACTCTATAATGTGTAGTAATTCTTAGTTGACATTGGATACACCAGAAGAAATCCAAGACTCAGAAAACCACATTACTAGCCTTTGTCTTTGTCCCCATTTTGCTCTGAAAACTTTCTAAATTAAGGAAAACTTTACCCTGCCGGCGTCTGTAGAAAGACTCTTCAGGTTCTCATTTCCCCGTCCCTGTTCTCTGACCCTCTACTGCTGCCGAGAGCCCTGCATGCTTCTAAACCAGCGAGGTTCTGCTGTGTGATGGTAAGGACATGCCTGGGGTGTGTTTCCTCTGTGTGCGCCCCCCAACACCAAACCCATTCACTCAGGCATAGCGCAGGACTGGGATTTGCCCTTTGGTTATTTCCTGGCATCAAAATACTGAATGGCTAATGGCTGATCTTAGCATCGCTCTGCAGATCTCCACTGGAGCCTGTTGCCTTGCCTCCACTGGACAAACTAAATGCCGCAGGGCACATGGAGCTTGCACTCCACTTGGTTTGGAGTCTGAAAGTTTGCTACTAGTCTCAGGCCTTCTGGCTCCGAAGGCAGCGTAGGCTAGTGCCATTGATAGAAACTAATTAGACTTTGTGAGTAAGAGTCAGTTTTAAAAATCTATTAACATAAGCAGAAGCCAGCGAAATGGGTAGTCAGAAGAGCGCTGGCTATTGATTATCAAGTTTCAGAGACTATTTCTGCTGACCATCAGGGTTTCTTCAGCTCCGCTGGCAGAATAGAAATAGTGACAGACATTGGGGTGCAGAGCGTGGCAGATTTGTTAAAGAGCTGGGATGTGTCCATGCAAGGCTGGAGAACTGCGTATGGCGGAGGAGGAGTTAATGTGCCCAGAACAAGGGAAGTGGTTTGAGAAGACTGGACACCCCTGTGGCGGATGAAGGGCTAGGTCTAGGGAATGAGGAGCTTGGGAAGCCATTCACTGACAGGTTCTGTGTTAATAGATTTGATTGCTTTGCTTTTTCTTGTTTTTAATTGGAAAAGGGCTTTTGATAAGATTTAACAGAATCCAGTGCAAACTAAAATATAAAAACGGATACGTAGCCCCCCAAATGCGGTGGCAATGGGAGCCTAGAACCTGAAGCTAGGTCTGTCTACTGGATGTTTTATACTAGCAGGCATCAGTTGCTCCCCTAACCCGTTAGGAAGCCTGGCAGGATTTGAGCATAGCTTGTGCCTTGGCCCATTTGGCGTCTTCTGTAACGCTGTTTTAATAGACCTGAGTTTTGAGAAGTCCAAGGGAGCTTTGCCTTCGCCTTCAGTAGTTTCAGGATTGGGGCCCCGGTCAGCAGTTAGAGCCTGCTGAATTTAGCATAAATGGGGAGGAAAATGCTCCCAACAGTGGAAGTTTTTCATTTGAAAACTTGCAATACTGGGATTGGTGTGTGTGTGTGTGTGTGTGTGTGTGTGTGTGTGTGTGTGTGTGTGTGTGTGTGTGTGTGTGTGTGTGTGTGTGTGTGTGTGTGT